TAAATAATTCTCTTTAAAATGATTTGGGTTCAGGCCTCCTCCTGGCATCTCCACCTCTCTGCTCATTACTCACCTGTCACAAGATCTGCTGATTAACCTACCAGTTCCTAATCGGGTCATTATGCTGGTTTCTTAATGAGGAAGAAGACTCTCCGTCCTCATCAGATTATTGCATCAGCCAGGAAACGTGTCTGACATCTATCCTGTTCTCATCACCGTCAGGCTCTGTTTTGATTTTAACCTGTGTTTCTTAGCATTTAGATTCCTGTGATCTTAAAGCAGCTGTTGATGTGATTTGGAGCTATACAAGTAAAACTAAAGTGAACTGAACTGAATTAATTTTGTTGATAGTGCGCATACCCAGCACTATCTGTAACACCTTGTCTCTGCAACTTCCTTGGTTTTTTGATAGTCTGTTAAATGAACCTAACTTTTAACAGTGCTCTGCGTGTGGGTCTATTTAGATCGGGGGTGGGCAACTCCAGGCCTCGAGTGCCGGTGCCCTGCAGGTTTTAGATGTGTCCTTGATCCAACGCAGCTGATTCAAATGGCTAAATTTCCTCCTCAACATGTCTTGAAGTTCTCCAGAGGCCTGGGAATGAACTAATCATTTGATTCAGGTGTGCTGACCCAAGGTGATATCTAAAACCTGCAGGACACTGGCACTCGAGGCCTGGAGTTGCCTACCCCTGATTTAGATATATATATGCCCCACACTGAATGGATTGGCGTGTTTCTACCCTTTGTCAAGAGGAATGGGTATCCACCAAATCCCAGTTGTGATAGGGACTGCATTTGCCATGAACGAGGAATTCCTAATAAGCATGGGACAAAAACTTGTGCTGCACGGTGGTAACACTAATTGTCTTCAGAGCAGTACATCAGGAGTTTAAATCCCAACCACTAAGGCCCCCAGGCTACATATACCAAAGCTATCCAAAGCCTACTTCAGTATATGAGAAAGAAGTATATAAATGAAGCAATGCCCGCTCGGACTTTGCCTATATTAACAAGATCCACATCAGGTGTTGAGGGGCACGGCATGTTAATGAGTGGCTACTGGAACCAGGTTATGGTTCCAGTGGACAAGCTATGAGAAAAGGGTATTATCAGAATGCTACTACACCAGTTACCCCTATGAAAGAGATTACATGAGGATTTGGGACCTATGAATTATTTAACGCCACAATTTACACTTACACTCAAACATATAGTTGCTCACTGTTCCAACATCTGTAAGAGTCCATAAGAAGCAACTGCTATTACTTTCTATGAGGTCTTCTACTAGAATATCTGAATACTGCATTACAGACAATCCCCCTCTGGCAGCACCATGTGGAAGGTCCTGTCCATTTGGCTAGGATAAACAAGCACATGGCTCAAAAATGAGCAGTGCCCAGAAAGGAATTGGCTGAAACACCAGAGGGGCAAAACACCATCTGCAGATAGCACATTCACTTCCTTTCAACCTGTGCACTGCCTGGATTGACCAAGAAAGCCTATGAATTAATGTGTCACAAATTGGTGGCCACAACTGCCCGTGTGCTGAATGAATAACTCAGGCAGCAGCTTTATTTTATAAATGTTTAATTACAGGATTGCAGCATTCTCTGAACTAGGTAAATAGATGAAGGGATTTTTTTCTGTCTTGTCAGCTTGTCCGGGAAAGTTCAAGTGCAGCAACAACCGGTGCATCAAGAAGACTCTGCAGTGTAACGGCAGGGATGACTGTGGAGACAACAGTGATGAGCTCAACT